ACTTGTACATCGCGCGACAAAGAAACGTAAGTACGTATATAGCTGAATGATTGGGTCGAGTCGATGGGGGTGACGAACACCAACCATGCGTGTTTCCATCGAATACAGAGCGAGCGAACAGAGGTAAGCTGCACGCAGGATAAAGAAGTTTCCAACACGGAGGAAAGCTGATTTATTACTCCGGGAAAGGGGCTGAGTAGTAGAGGGGTTGGAGAGCGGAAGAGCGCAGCTTGTCAGGTGTATAACGCGTCGGAACTTACGAAATTATTCCATCGAGTTTTCGTGCTGGCTGCAACGTGAGCATCGCGAGAGAATACAGGACGAAGGAGGACGAGAGAAATAGAAGGAGGGAGAGCAGTCGCGTCTTAATTGTTCGAGACACGCAGCTCGACGCTGCTGCTCACGCTCCCCGTTGAAAAGGGATAATTAGGAGAGACGCGGCATCGTCGTTAACGCCTTGTAAACCGCATTAGTAACGTTTTCCCGATAAAACGTTGTTTTGCCCTTTTATCGCTTATCGGCTCGCTGGAATCTATTCGCACTACTTGCGAATAATTCATGTAAAACAACAGAAATGCACGCTCGTAACCCCTTTTAATCGTATTCCGCCTTTGTCTTGCAAATCGTGCTTCACGTATTCGTGAAGTAGAATTTTCTTCGATAGCCCGTTATCGTTTATTTTCCGGTTTTTTTCTGCGCTGAGTTATCGCGAGATGGACGATAACAGGCAAAGTGTAAACGTTCTTGTTGAGAATTGTGGATCTTAATTGCCGAAATAAAAGTAAAGGAACACCGAGGTTACACTTAGAATTCAAGTTAAAATAGTTTTAGGTTTATTTAATAAACGATTTCCAGGGTCTTCGTCGACATACTTTAGCGCACGTCTCAGCACTTTCTTTGTCTCACCATCTTCCGCACCACACTATTAACGAAACATTCATCTGTTTTTCGAGACACCGCGCACACACATACTTCCACACACTCATATTCACGTACGTGTGTCACTACTACGCGGCCAATCTAGTCTAGCACACAAAATTATGCATATCTCAATAGTTCTTAACACTGGAACTAACAAAGTTTTTCTGGTTTTTGCAATTGATAACAGCATGACAGCGTTTCCGATGGAATTAACGTTAATTTTCATCGAAACTGAACTAGTATCGGGCAAAAGTCTTGGATTACCTATGATAGATGATCCAGCAAGGGAATATTTTTACACAATGTTACGTAGAAACCAATTCTTTTGTGACGCTATTCGTTTGTAATTTTTTCCGGTTCACAGGTCTTTGAAAATTATTTCAACAAGTAGAAGGGTAAAATAAATGTTACGTAGCACGATATATACGTCGAACGATTTAAAATGAGAAAAAAGAAAGTTAAAGACATACATAAATCGCCTGAAATACTAAAAACAAAATATTGTATAATATAACGTGTGTTTATTGAAAATTTATTTGAGAAGATCCCAGAAAGAACGACTGGACATTAATCAATATCTTTTTTATTAAATTACCAACAAGTTTCGAAATATTACGCTTATTAAGAAGCAACAACGGACTTGAAATAAATTTAAAATAATAATATCAAGTATCCTTATATTCATTCATGAGAAGAAAATATCGTTGCATTTTAAGTAGCTTAAGACTTTTACATAATACCGTACCTATTTATCTTCATCATATTACTTTAATTATAATCATCCCGATATATATAGTACATTTACATACACATTGTAAATCGGTAGATTTAATATTAAAACCTTTCTCGTTAAAATATAATACAAAAGGTTATTCGGTCCATCGATCGCGGTAAATGTTCCAGGCACCATGCAACGTGTCGCTTAAGGCGATTTGAAACTCGTGACATTTACGCGGTCGACGATAACCAATCAGGAAACTTTGTGGAAACGTTCCGTAGACCAATAACATTCAAAATTCCGTGCATTTCGACTTCTAATCGGAAGGTCACGGAAAGGAAATCGTTCAGTTCTCGTCGGTCTTCGACCGATGCGTCGCGGTCGAGTTAGTTGGTAGTTACGTTCCGATTTGCGCAACAGTCTAACAAACTTTGGCCCGAGCAAGTTCATAATCGCGTAACTCTCAGGTCGGCTTTATTTCAACAATGCACCTACGATACCGTGACCATCTTACAACCACGCTACTCCCAAGCCTTTGTTCGTCATCGACAATAGAAGCTGTCTCTATGGCGTAGCAGTCGAACTTCTATCCATCGTTTGCTTCCTCCACCCGTCGCTTACTTCTGATTAGAAACCACGCTCTTTTCTGCACGAGAGAAAAAAGAAAAAGGAGACGAGAGAGGCGAAGCGTTTTCTCCTCAGTCACGTTTGATCCCTTGTAAGGGGGCAGAAACGTTGAAAAGACATCGGGGATCAACGGGGTTCGCTTTAATCCGACGACCCAGCGACGATTAGCATTCACGGGGGAAGCTCGCCCTTTGTTGTGCCGACAGTCAGTACCGGAATCGCGGAGTCGTGCCAACGGGATAACTGCTCAAGTTTCCCGGCAAGCTGAGACAGCGCGACGCGAACTGGGTTAGAAAAAAGACACGGGGTAGATATGTGTAAAAAGCGTGCCGATTAAAACGTCCTCGGTCCGACACGGTCTCGAGAAACTTTAATGTCGAAGATTTTCTTCGCGAAATTTGGATGGATATACGTATAAGTATAAGTGTTTACATTGGTCGATTGTTTTGTCGGAGTTCGCGAGTGTGTTGTGATACGAGAAGAAGTTTGGCGACGGAGATTTCGCGGAAAGGGAACGGAAGGGCAGAAAGGAGAAGCACACGGTAAGTGATAGTTTTTATGTCTCTGCTGGTATTTAGAATATCTTTTCGAATCTTACATTGCGTAAGTGACGTTAATTTCGAAATCGTACTGAGTAAAGTAGTTTCGAATTATGCGTACATCATCGTTTAAGAGAACATTGTTTTACGAATTTTGAAAACATATAAATAAAAGTTGAATTTCAATCTCAATCTATTCTGTAAACACGCATTTTTGCACATTGAAAAATTATTTAAACGAATATAAACAAGTGGCACGAAGTCGAATAACATTACATTTTTTTCCAAATCGAAACCACAAATTCAAAGCGACGAATAGAAAGTATTGAGTAATTGACGAAAGAAAATAAAATTAATTCAATTTAGATCCATATTACTAACAGCGTTACTTCCTATTGATCCTATACGACAGTCCTATACAGTTCCTATACAGATCCTATACAGTTTGTATCATTCTTCTCATAGAATATCACTGTGGCATAGAAGCTTCGAAACTCGATGTTAGCTCTCGAACAAAGCACATACATTTGTAGTAAAAAGAAGAAGGAAGAAAAATAGAAATCGTGTGAAACGAAATGCGTGGAAACAGGCAGCGGGTAGAAATGGAGAGAACAGTGGAGGGTCGTGTGTACGGGGTACCGATTTGGACCGCTAGATGCATATAAATCAGCATAAATTGTACTGTAGAATTTCGTAGTCGACTCGCGTCGTTCTGTGCGTTGTAGGCTTCGCGTTTAACCGACGTGTATACGCGGTCTGCACGAACGAGCGTGATGCGTCTTGCTAGAGGGAAAACTCGACCGTTCTCGTGACGGTTCGCGTGGGATTTGCTTTGTCCGCCTGCTTTGTCCGCATTACGAAGGTGGCAAAGGTTTTTTTCCCAGCCTCGAAAACGAAATTGTTGCTTATGAAACAGCGGAAGGTGCGCCGCCCCACCGTAGATAGAATACAATTGCCCTTCTCTCTTTATTCTCTCCTTGCTTTCTCCACGTTTCTTTCTCCCTCTCTTTTTGCCTGTCGTTTTTCTCTCCTGGAAAAAAAGAATAATTCAGCCGCGTTTGCATTTTACTCAGGGTCCGTTCTGTAACTGCCACTCCCGTGCGAATGGAATTTATTTAAATCCCGTAGATCCCACGGAAACTAGATTTCCTAAGGTCCTGTGTCGTACCCACTGATTTCGTGGCCTGATAAGTCTTCGGGGAATGTTAGACCGCGAGCTATTTTACGTTTAAGGAAGAATTCATTTTCGGAGCCAAGAAACAAGGGACGGTTCGTTTAAGTTACTTGGACGTTCTCTCTCTCTCTCTCTCTCTCGCTCTCTCTTTGGATGAATCAGAGATTGCGAAGATGCTCGTTTGACCTCGTAGATCTAGAGACCTCGGTCGAACTGCATAAAGGACGTTCGTTCTATTTCCTCCCGTCCATTTGGTAGTAAAACCTTCATGCAAAATACTCGTACTTTGGATTTTATATTCTGGAATCGAGTTTACGTCGATGAAGCGGCGAGATCTGTGTTGGAGATGCTCCTTCGGGAAGGCCTTTGATATTTCATCGTTCGGGGTTGAACAGAGTTTTGCGTGAAATTCCTCGTTTTCGTATTATTCGACGCTTCGTTCGCCATCGAAGTTGTATAACTGTGTAGCAGCTTTCGATAGCTAAAATAAATTCTGGAATTACGCAACCGACTGTAATCCTTTAATCTTTTTACTTTGTTATTCATTCGCGTGTAAAGCAGAGATTTACGGAATATTATTTATACGCGGTGTAAATATTTCGTTTTGTTAAATATTTAATATTACGCTGCGAGTATACGTATTAGGTTCAATAGGTAGTCGTTTCCAGTTAGTTTAAATAACATCCAACGAAATATTGAGAAGCGTATCTATAGCGTCTATAGCCAGCAGTTTACAATTGCCTTTCTATAATATCGAGAATGGACAAATTAATCTAAAAACTTGTCCTGTTTAAATCGATATTTCTCCGTTACGTTGCAAATAGACAGTGTGTAACATCCCGAAGCTTCGATGGTTGTTTATCACGTTGGAAATAGAAAAGTATCCGAACGTCAATTACACGTGGCACGTTCGATCGCCACGAGATTCATTGAATTCGTGTCGGCTACACGCGAAGGAGACGAATTTGATGGAAATTGCAGGGGAGAGTGAGGCTAGCCAGCGGCACGATGGAAATTTACGAGGCACAGCCTCGTTCCGGAAGCCTCGTAATTCTTGGAATCTGTTTCAAGAACGATGGCCGATCTCCAGCTTTCTGGGGCTCGACCCATAAAATCGACGTGTGATTTTTATTCCCAAATTCATGCTTCGGAAACAGTGACATATCTTTTTCTCTCCTTTTACTGATTTTTTTCATCACTTAAAAAGAGCTTTCGAAGGAAATTAATCGGTTAATGTTGCCACAGGTGAAATTTTGCGCAACAGTACGTTCTTCTTATTTTAGAAACCAACTAGAGCAAAGAACGATGGAATGTCTATGAAGCAAAGATGAAAAAGTTACCGTTTGCATGATTGTAAATAACATTACGATAGTATTATTGCACTACGATAATATTAGAACGAGGGCTAAGCCTTAATAGCTACGGTGAAATAAAAATATTGTTGCAACGATTGCGTATCTTCGAGTACGAGGAGAACATACTTATTTGCAGAAATAAATGTACCAACGATTAATATTTTTGAAGTATAAAGTTATATAATTATGCAGTACATGTCTATTCATTGTAAGATCTCGAGAAAAATCGACTACTTGATTAACCCTTTCAGCGCTAGGACGTCTGATAACGTGCGTTTATTATACTTATTACTATGGAACCTATGTCGGGCCGAATAATTTTTCACTTCTACGATACACACGGGATATAATTTCTCATTGTTCATGTGAAATATAGCAAAAATATTTGAAATAATTATTAAAGGTTCCAAAATCGTTTAGTTGTTATTTGCATCATTCATTATTATAGACATTGGAATTAGCAAACTTCATTTTCCATATTTAAAATGTTAATCATGTTTTGGAATGTGTGTTAAGATATAGCATCGTATTACTAGAGATTTAAATTATGGCGGTATTTGGTATTTCAGAGCCACAGAATAGTAATTAAGGGTTCAAGTTATTCAGCTTAGGAGGAACATTTAATAGACGCGCTTGAAATGTTCGACAATGCCAGTTTATCGTTATGTACCATGTACATAATTATACAAAGAGTCTGTTGAATACAGTTGCGTAGAGCATGCATTAAATCGGCTATTTGCGAAGTAATTATTCGCAGTATTTAGTTGCGTCGGCGATTTCGTCAACATAATTACAACACCGTTATAAATATTCATGTTCGTTTAATATTCATGAAACTTACAGCACGGAACGGTGGCACTCGATTAAAAGAATTCTTTTTCGATACAGTGTCAAAATTTCGTTTGGATATAAACACGTATAAACATCGTTACTCTGCATACGACAGTTTGGAAGGATAATTTAAAACATATACATTTTATATACTACGATAGTATTTGTACATTCATCACAGAAAATTTGTACGTCTATGTCATACATGTTATTTCGAAATTTCCTTCAACGACAGAGATGATCTCACTGAAAATTGACACTTGTCATTACAACGAATAATTCTCTGTTTAAATACTTTTGTGATTTCTGTAAAATATGCGTATACTCGCACTAAATAAATATTTATAATATATTTTCAAACTTTACTCGTGTAATCGTGATAATCCAGTCTCATAATAGCATTAACCTCTTGCATTCCGAATTTTATTTCAATCTCGTTACCAGCAGCTTCCAACGCTTTTAAGTGTTTTATTTGAAATTTATTTTAACTAAAAAATAAGACAATTTAAATAAATAAAGGAAGAAATAAATTCACTTAAATATCAGTTTTATTCACACTATTGTTGTAATTTTTAAGTCCATGATATATCTTGAAACAATTTCCAGGATGCAATCCTGATTTTCTTCCGCACGTTTCACAAAAAAAGGGTGGGACTGAAAGAATGTCGAGTGGACTCGACAAAGTAGTTCCTGAGATAAAAACTGACGTCGAGTCACACTCGACGTAGGAGTGCAAAGGGTTAATGCAATCTCAAAATATTTCACATAAAATACGTCCACTCACGGTGTCTACGGGTACTCGAAAACTTTCGTAAGCCTGTGTACGTCGACCAGAAAATGTAAATAAACGTATATGTTAACGGGTACATTGTTCATCGAAGTCGAAGTTATATGGAGAACTGACAGGGAAGCGAGCTGTGAGACGCGCGCTAATTTCCATTAATCTTACCGAAGACAAGGGGAGATAATCGATAATATCGTTGGAATATCGAGTTCCAATCACAGGATCGTCGAGCGTGACTCCGACCACGTACCGTGTCGACAAGAACAAAGGTGCTCGTAATTTATGCGAGTCATCAAGAGAAATCTATCACAACGAGGTCCGAAATACGACATCCTGTTGTATTTCTTGATGTTTCGGAGACGTTCGACGCGTTATCTCTTCGGATTCCTTGGTGTTTCGGTAAGAATATTTGACTTCTTGTTTTAAATCATCTGAAGTTAAAATATCTCGTTTCGATGTAGGACAATCTTGGCCGTTTAGTCACTTGACATCATTAACATTCATAGACTTCAAAGTAGTTAGATTAGTGGATTAGTTAAACCTGAATAATTAGGTCTTTGGTCAGGTAAGTTGCACGTGAAGGGAAATTATAATTTTGATGCTACGTTAATCTACTGTCACCACGTATATTTATACGAACTAAACTTTGTTAAAGGGAAAGACACAAATTTTTTTCTCTTTCTATCGAATCACTAAAACGACAGTAATCAAAATACAGATTAATCGTAAAATAAGATAGCTTCACAAAAACATGGATAGAAGAATAATTAGGTAGGAATATTGATAAAACACACTGATAAAACAGAGTTGAAACAGACGTTATTTAAAATATTTTAGAATTCATTCATCGCGTGTATGT